TCTGAAAACCGACCCAATTGAAGGTAATAATCTGAAAACCAACCTAATTGAAGGTAGTTTGAACATATTTAAGCCGTACTTAAATTTTTTTTTGAAAGTATCTTAATTCATGGCACAATATAAAGCATTTGTTGCTTTTGTTTCTAGTTACAGGTGTTTTATGTCTTCATCTTATTAATCTTCACTTTTCTCCACTTCTTCATTGTTTACTATCTTTGTTGGAATTTTTGGTCCATTTTTTATGACAAACCAAGGTTTGAAGTCGATGAATTGTATGAATATTCGCATACGCTCCTTTCACTCAGTGTAATTTATGCAATCGAAATATGGTGGCCTCAAAATAGGTTGTCCTTTAGTGACAATTTTCAGATTACTACCTTTAATTAGGTCGGTTTTCAGATTACTACCTCTAATTAGGTCGGTTTTCAGATTACTACCTATTAATTTATTATTTTTTATTTTAAATACTTGATAATTTTTTTTCTCTTCAATTTAGTACTTGACGTTGGTCTCCCTCTATCAAGTAATGACGTGGCAGATGGACTACCATGTCATCATTTAACAGAGAAAACTAACGTCAGGTACTAAATTGAAAAAAAAATTGTCAGGTAATTTTAACAATTTTTTTTTATAAAAAAGTAGTAATCTGAAAATCGAGCTAATTCGAGGTAGTTTAAACATTTTTAAGCCTATAATATTTAATGTGGTTATTATAATATTTATATTTAATTTTTCTTATCATATTTTATTTTTTTAAAATCATATGTGATTTCTATCATATTGTGTGTTATTAAAGTAATTTGCTAATTTTTTTTCTACCTAAATTAAGGCACTTTAGACAATGATCAATTTTTCTTTAGTTTTTTTTTTCTCATTATTTAATATATTGTACTCCTATTTATCTTTATGTGACAGTCTGTCTGGCACGTCATCACTTAATAGAAGGGGACCAATGTTAGGTACTAAATTGAAGAGAGAAAAAAATAATCATGTATTTAAAATAAAAAAATAATAAATTAATAGATAGTAATCTGAAAACTGACCTAATTAGATGTAATAATCTGAAAACCGACCCAATTGAAGGTAATAATCTGAAAACCAACCTAATTGAAGGTAGTTTGAACATATTTAAGCCGTACTTAAATTTTTTTTTGAAAGTATCTTAATTCATGGCACAATATAAAGCATTTGTTGCTTTTGTTTCTAGTTACAGGTGTTTTATGTCTTCATCTTATTAATCTTCACTTTTCTCCACTTCTTCATTGTTTACTATCTTTGTTGGAATTTTTGGTCCATTTTTTATGACAAACCAAGGTTTGAAGTCGATGAATTGTATGAATATTCGCATACGCTCCTTTCACTCAGTGTAATTTATGCAATCGAAATATGGTGGCCTCAAAATAGGTTGTCCTTTAGTGACAATTTTCAGATTACTACCTTTAATTAGGTCGGTTTTCAGATTACTACCTCTAATTAGGTCGGTTTTCAGATTACTACCTATTAATTTATTATTTTTTATTTTAAATACTTGATAATTTTTTTTCTCTTCAATTTAGTACTTGACGTTGGTCTCCCTCTATCAAGTAATGACGTGGCAGATGGACTACCATGTCATCATTTAACAGAGAAAACTAACGTCAGGTACTAAATTGAAAAAAAAATTGTCAGGTAATTTTAACAATTTTTTTTTATAAAAAAGTAGTAATCTGAAAATCGAGCTAATTCGAGGTAGTTTAAACATTTTTAAGCCTATAATATTTAATGTGGTTATTATAATATTTATATTTAATTTTTCTTATCATATTTTATTTTTTTAAAATCATATGTGATTTCTATCATATTGTGTGTTATTAAAGTAATTTGCTAATTTTTTTTCTACCTAAATTAAGGCACTTTAGACAATGATCAATTTTTCTTTAGTTTTTTTTTTCTCATTATTTAATATATTGTACTCCTATTTATCTTTATTATTACACCCGTAATTATATCATAATCACATATATCAATAAATAAATAAATATATATATATATATATATATATATATTACTTTTTTGGAGATGTAAAATTACGATACAATTAATAGAAAGTTGCCCACAATTAGTAAATGTTTGAAAATAAGGGATGCAGGAATCCAATCAAGATATTTATATAACCACAATTTAATATTGAAAAAGTATAGTCAAGCATCATTAGAAATATTAAACTTAATTCATCTTCTATTTTTCTTCTCTGTTAAGTTTTCCTATATATTTTCTTTTTCTTTTGAAAATATTGTCTTCCACTTGATTACGGTTTTGGATGCTAGCTAGCAACCTACACATAAAGAATACTGGGATGGGTTTCAGAGATAAAATTCTCCTCTAAAATAAATTTAAAATTATTCCAAAGATGCAACAAAATATGGACTTAATGCAAGTATTATTCAAACCACATAAATTAAGGGAGTTTTCACCGTTACACACCTAATAAAAAGTGAGCATCTGTCATCCTCTAACTCTTAGAAGGAAGAATCCAATAACATAATTAAAGAAGCTTAAAGAAAAATTAACTAGAAAATAAATATATTGTTTCCATGTGATTCGTAGCTTGAGTTACGTGAATGAGTTTATTAGTTACATAGTAATAAATATTAATGTATTATGCATGCCATGGGACATATGATGCATGTTTCGCACAAAAATAATTAAAAATGTGACAACGCAATCGTTCAGCATGATTGATAATATCTAAACGAAGTGCAATTATCTATATTTTTGTGCATTAAATTGACGTACGCAGAAAGAGACAAGACCGAGATGTTTAGAATAATAACCAAATAACGTTCCAGAGCCTTCTCAGACATATTTAATTTAGATTGTGTTTGGATAAATTTAATAATAAACATTTACAATACAAATAGAATAAGCTTTTTCTTTGTGAAGTAAAGTCAAACTTATGCATAACTTAAAATCAATTTTATAAAAGTTTAACTTTTCTAAAAAAATAAATAAAATTAATTATTTTTAGGTTATAAAAAAAAAGTTTATTTATTTTATTTTTTATTATTTTTCCTAGAGAAACTTGTCCAAACAAAGCCTAATTTATAATTAAAAAAACCTATCTGATGCCAAAATGTCTAACAAATTTGCTTCTCTTTATGGGCAGTCATTTTCAACCTCATATTATTAATAATATTTTCTTTTGACTTACTTTTGTATTTTGAGATTCTTGCCTTTTGAGGTTATTTCAAAAAGATTTGGTTTCACATTATTTGATTTTGGATATATATATTATTTCTTTATTTTTATCTTTGAATGTTATGTATCAAAAGCCAAGTATAGTTCCAACCATTTCTTTTTTCACGCTGACAAAAATCTCCTTCTACAAGTTCATCAGATCTCAACCTAATAAATTAAATATTGACCCAGAAGTTGCCGAGAGTTTGTTTAGATTAAAAAATAAAATAAAATTGATAAGCACTTGTAAAAAAAAATAAGATGAAAAATAAAAATTGATTTATGTATAAATTAATTTGTAATTTAAATATTTTTTAATTCTTTAAATTTAGGGTAATTTTATTTTTGGTTTCTCGAATTTAAAATTGGTCTTTTTAGTTCCTGTAATTTTAAAATATCTTATTTTAGTCTTTATATTCAAATTTTACAAGAAAATCTGTTAAATATTATCGCATTAAATCTACTTATTAGTGTTCTATTAATGAAAATATTACATTAAACTCATGATATTGTATAACTATCCCAATTTATCACTTTCATATGTTATTGGTGACATGAAGGATTAAACTAAAATTTTTGAAAATTATAAGGACTAAAAATAACAATTTTAAATTTGAGGAATTGAAAAAAATAATATTACATATTTGAAGCGTTAAAAATATATTTAAGTTTTAATTTGTATAAATTTTTTCATATCACATTTAAAAAAAAAAATTATGTTTAACTTGTACATATGCTAATTTATCTAAATTTTCTCTTTAACTTTTCTAAAAATTTACTTTTAACTTGTGAAAATTTTATTTCATTTTTTACCTTCTATAAATAATTACAGGGAAGTTTATTTAAACATGCCCCTAATCTCCTAAGAGTCGATCATATTGCATTGCAATGAAATTCAAGGCCAGATTATGACGGAGGAAAGCTGTGGCTTAGTTCACTCCAAATTAAGATGCTATAAAACAGAAGATACACAACAAAAAAGAAAATGCAACCACTTATAAGGTTAGATTTCACAACAAAAAAGCAAATGAACAAAAAATGTAATCATTTCAAGGTTAGATTTTACATAATTTAAAGTCTATCAAGACCAGCATGGTAGTGAAATATTGAACAATTTGCACAAAGTCTTAGATTTAAACTATTGTTATTTTTATAATTCTTATTAATAAAAGATTTTATTGCTATCATTGTAATCCTACTGATTAAAAATAACATTCAATCACTCTTATCAGGTGAGAAGAACTATATATTTGTTATGAAAAATTTAATGTCATGTATGAAAACCTAACCGTGTGAGGCCTATTTTATCCCTTATAAAAATCGATCATTATCACAAACAATTAGCATTTGCTTCATCAACAGCTTTGTACTACATATTATATTTGTAAGCATGTTAACGTGAATTTTTTTTTAAACGTCATCCTAAACTAGACTTTTTGTGACAACACGCAAATATGAAAAAGCCATCCAGGTGGCATATTAGCAAATAGCCCCTCAAAAAATAACTAACCAGAACTAAACATTCATTCTACTTTTGAAAAGATTGGATTATCACTTCTCGTCTTTTAAAAATTAAAAGATAGATGACATCAATTAAGTCCATAATAGAAAAAGACTTCATGAACACCATTATCGGTACAAATTGAGATTGAAAAACAAAATAATTTCAATTTTCTACAGTTAGGGGACTAAACTAAATTGATGTTAATTTTTTATTATTAAAAGACTGAAGTGACGTCAAATTTTTTTTTAGAAAATTAAATCGATGTTAATGATCATGTAGGAATCAAATTAATGACGATCAAATCTTTTAAGGACCAAATCATAGTTTTCCCAACTGGCCAGTGATGGCCAAGGGCCACTTCAAATCAAGGGAGACGAAAGACATTGGCTTTGAAAGCAGCAACATGGGCATCTAATGACTTCACTTCTCCCCCTAACTATGAACATAAGCAACGCCACAGTAAACTTTGACGTCTCATCACAATATTACACACTAACACGAAGATGATGTTGGTCATGTTATGGAGTGATCCAGAACAGAGTGAGTTAGTTGTATGTATACACAAACTCAGCAAAAGAGATCACATTATGGTGCAGCGGCTCTTTTCCTCAGTTTGCTGTGAATTTACTTGCTGGAACCTGTGTGACTCAGATGGGTTGTATGTAAATTCCGAAGTATCAAGCCCATACTGAGAAAGAACAGCAATAGTGTCAGACAGTAAAAACCACATAAAAAGCTATAATTGTCTTACAAAACTAATAATAATGTGTGCTGGCGTTTGTGTATTTTTGAATGATTCCTAGTACAAAGATTTGACAGTCAAAAATATAAAAAATAATTGAATATTAAAGCAAAAAGCAACAAGATGCTATTCGCTAACCGACGGAGTTGATTGCATGTAAGAAAATGTCCTGCTTTGTGCTTTGTGGGACATCAGAAAAACATTAGATAGACAGGTTTAGCCAATCTTATAAGACATGAATTCAACAGAATGATCTAGATTGAAAATTTCAAATGGACTTCAATATTCTTCTAAAAAATGGAATAACATTGGAAACTTATTAAATTAAAATGCTCAACCGAAGAAACTACTATATATATGTGCGTGTGTGTGTAAGTGGATGGTCAAAATTAAAAATAAATTAATAATCACATGACTACTTGATCAAAATATGTATATTTATCTTTTAATATTGACCATTTAAATTAGATCTAATTAATAGTCATACTTTGTTTTCATTTCTTATAATAAACTAGTATTATTACCTAAATAACACCTATATGTGCATGCATGTGTGTGTACAAGTATTTATGTATAAACATCTTGAGTAATGATATCTATTGGCTCTTAAGACCTCAAGCCAGGAAGCCAAAAGTCAAAGCCAAATATCTGTTTTTGTATGTAGGAAAATGTTTGGTAACCACATGGCTAAGAGGCCTGGATTGCACCAGACCCACACTAGTATGGTACTATTCAGGAGCACTCAAGTGTGCACACATACCTGTTAAGACAAAAAGACAAACAAAAAAACTGCATAACAGAATTAGATAAAGTCAACTGATGAGAAAAAGATTGCACCTTCTCCCTCATCCGTGTACTCCATGCATCATTTCTGCTTGGACGCTGGTCAACTGTCCCAGCAACCGGTACCCCCGTTGCTGTGCCTGCTGGTCTGTTGAGCAATGGTTGCCGTGCTTGCTGCCTTGGATTAATGAACTCCTCATCACTATCATAATCTGCTGGCCTATTTGCAGCCCTAACAATAAGGGCTAACAGGAAAAGAATGGCCTGCAATTTCATACACATTCCTTAGATAATATATGATACCAAATTTTAAGTTCTACAAACATAACAATGGGTACATTACATCACGGACATGTATAAAGCTTTCATTACTATAGGGCCCATCCCCTCTTGTTCTGTTGGTAGGCAAGTCTGGATAGAACAGTAAGGTACTCAACTACATTTGAGAACTAGAAAACAAAGAAAGTGAGGCTTCTCAGGGGAAAATTGTTTCCAAAATGTAATGCTAAAAACAGACTATTTTGAGAACACTAAAGGTTGAATATTATTAAAAACCACAAAATTTTGTAGGTCTCACACACTATTTAATGAACTTCACTAATGATTTTGTAGTTTTCAATAAATTTTAACCAATAGAAGAGAGTGTGTTAGAGAGTATATTGCTAACACTCGTTTTAAGTTCCTAAATTTCAAAGTTGATTGTTACTTAACTAGCATATTTCAAACCTCTCAATCCTTGATATTCTCTTTACTTTGTCTCTTCCAGATTTCTCTTTGTCATCTAAATATCTATATCAATCAGTATCAAAACTGCTTTTTTTTTTTTGTGTCAAGAAATTAAGCACCCCAGGTATACCACTTCTCATCAATGAAGAAGCATTACAAAAAAGCTCACTAATGAGTACTAGGCCAGATCCTAAAATCCAAGTATCCAAGAAAGGGGGAGATAGCCAGGGGAATCCTATCATTGATGATAGTTGACAAGTGACTCCCATGAAATTGTTAGCAGGATGGAGGTAATAATCAATTCATTTTCCTTGTCTACCTGGTCTCTAGAATCTAGATGTTTCTATCAAAAACAAAAACAGTGTATTCCCCTCATCAGGATTACAATATTACTTTTAGTTCTCAAATGAAATTGTTGAAAATTACTTCAAGAGTTCAAGTTTTCTCAATCTTTTATTGGCCCAATCTAAATTAAATTCTTTACAAAATGGATAGATTGATTATAATCCTAGAGATTATGTGGGTACATGCACAAAAACAAACATAACTGCAAAACAGTATGGCTTTCTTTCAAATGCCAATCATAAAACTTCTTGCTTACCTGAAAGATAACAATTCCAAGAGCAAACCATTTCACAATATTCCAATTCTCTCTCAGAAATCCATATATCACATCAAAATCTCCAGTTTTGTCTGTTGGAATTTCCTGATTGAAATATAATTATAAGATGGCAAATATATCTTTAATTTCATATCACAAATTACCATAGGAAATTTTACTTACTTCTTTCCAGTTTTTGTCAAAGAATATAAAGGCTGCACATCCCAGCTCTACCAAGATCAACAATACCACCAAAATTGAATACTTTTTTGAGTTAAGGATATTAATAACAATTCCTTTGATTAGCATGGATTAATGCATGTATATATGCACACATAGCTGCACATATAGACAGAAATTTATGAGACCATGAAATTTTTTTATTGTAGCATAATACATTCTGATAGGATACACAGCTCAGGCAGCATCCATTTCGTGTTGCAGCTCCAATACAACCAAAACAAGAAATAACAAAGAGAACTACTCCAATGCCAATAAATAAGTAAATAAACCTGCCAAACATGAAATGAAGAATTAGAGTGAGGTTGGTCTTTGTCATCTTCATCGAAAAGTAATGATATGTGTAGTGTACTAACTGTACTGAGCGAAAAGTGGGACAGTTTATTATATAAATGTAAAATATCAGCCATGACTCAACAATGAACTAAAAGCCAAGCATTGGGATACAAAGCTCCATCAATTTACAACAATAATAGGAAATACAAATAAAAATAAAAGGGCAAAATACGACGTGTGGTATTTTATTGGTGATTTTCTATTTCTTACACAAATACATTAGTCAGTAAAAAAACACTACACCAGATAAAATAAAAGTTAATTCAAATTTACATTTTGTGCACCATTCTATAAAGCGCATAAAAGTAAAGTTTATTAAAGTTTCTTCACTTGATCAATAGCAAGAGTAATCAAAGATGGATCAATTATACCATCAAATGAAAGTGCTTAGCCTTAAATTTTACCTTCTGAAGCTCTAACTATTTCATAACCACAAGCTCACGATCTATTGACCAGCAATTCCAAAAGTTCCACCATGTAGATCTCACTAAACGTGACCAAAATCAAACAAAATGGCATAGTAAGCACCTAAAACTAGAGGCTATGTCCTAGATTCTAATAGGGAGGTTAATTCCAACTCTAAAACCCTATTTATGCAATTCCAACTCTGCCATAAAGTACTGAATGCATTTGACCCATAATTTTTATAAAGCAAGTTAAATTGTTTTTCAACTTAGCTATCCATTTCATACAATATTGATTATATTATAGTTACGCGCCATTGAAGCAAAACTGCCCCAAGCCCCCAACCCATCAGGTAAAAAAGCTTTGTCAGCATGAATATAACCTGCGGCAAAACTAGATAACAGATAGCAAACTGATGCACCAAAATATTACCAAACCTTTGGAAAGTCAAGAATAAACATAAATTATGCCCCAAAAGTGGGAAGAAAAGAAACAATACACATACCATGCATTGGGTAAGTTATCAAAGAAGCTGTTGGATAGAGACACGGCCAGAAGCATAGGCCGGCCAAGTTGAATCAGAGAAGAATCATCACTGACAGGAGAAATATCCGGAATGTCATCATCCGCAGCTTTAGAGAATTCCACAAAAAGATAGATTCCATAGCCCACAATGCCCAGACCAGCCAGGGTCAGTATGAAGTTCAAAAGCTTCAAAAGGCACTCCCAGCATCCCCTACATGCCATCCTCTCTACCTATAACTCTACTTCAATCCCTCAACCACAATTCAAAAACAACACCAATAATGCCCTGTATATATTTTCTGCACAAACACACAAACACTTCCTTATAGCACCAGATAAGAAATACATAAAAACCATCACAACAACGATAACACATGCACTTCAGTTAGAATTTTATGCTAATTTCAACTTGTCCATTAAACCTTACTGTCTCAGAAACAAAAAGACAGAAATTAATAACAAGTCAACAATAATAACTTAATCGATTGATTTACATAAGACAGAAAAGCATTTCCAAAACGAAAAAAGTGAAACGTTCTAGCCAATTTTAAAAACAATAAACGCAAATTTATATCCCTAATTATTATTATAAAAAAAAAATGGCGATGTTGCTTAGAATGCAATTGAGCCCTATTCGCAGTAAAGTGAAGCTTCGATGATTTATCAAACGAAAAATAAATAAATAATAATAAATGAGGGGAACTTACGAAAGGAATCGACGATTTGGAGTTGCAGATTGCGAAAGTTGGCTTCCAAATTGAAATTGAAATCAGCCACAGAGAAGAGAAACGAAGACACAGAAAAAGTGAAAAATGCCACTCTGGCATGGACAGTATCGTCTACAGCCACCATAAAATTATGGATGATCCACACCTTTAATTGTTTTAATTTTACGAAAAAAATAATTAATAAATAGTGCTTAAAATTTTTGGACCATACGATCTATTTGGACTGCGCGATTCGTCCTGGCACTGGTTGCAGCCAGCCAGCCCCCGAAGTTGCGCTGAGATGGACATCTAACGAAATGACAACTATGCCCTTCTCTCTGTCCTTTATTCCTATTCCTATAAGAGCAATTTTATTTGAAATGACATCTTTGCCCTTTTCTATAAATGGAATTTTAATAATGGACTTAAAATATATTTTGGTCAATTTTTAGTCTTTTAAGAATATTTTTTTAAGAAAATTACAAAAACTGTTTTGATCTTTATTAATTTATTTTAGTTGAATTTTAATATTATTTTAAATTATTTAAAAATAAAATAATCCAAAAATTATACATATATATA